AAATGTGAATGCATTCTGTTGGAAAGTGTTTGATGACGTGTGCTCTTCCCGATGCAGGACATGATGGAGTGTTCTGCAGGGCAAATGTGCCGTGACAAAAACAAGAAGATGTGTGCTGTGATAACTTCCTGTTACTTCGAAGTGAGTGAAAAACTAGCAGCTCTTTCCTGTCAGTTTCTATTTAAAGAGGCCCTATTCTGCTGTTTGGGGTTTCCCTCTCCTGTAGTGTGTTCTAGAGGTTTCAGTGCGTGTTAATGGAAGCTTTCTCATTCCTCTAAGTCCCCTCCTCGACTCCTATCCTCGACTCCTATCCTTGTGTCTTAGTCCCGCCCACAGGAGATGCGAGCGGAGGAAGCGAGGAGAGAGGAGGGGAAGCAGCAGGCGGTTAGAGAAATGAGAACTCCTCTCCTCTGAGCGGTCATTTTAAAGAGACGTCCATTAATGATGACAGGAGGCACAGCAGCTCTCTGTCTGATGGACAGATGTGTTCATGACCACTTATATATTTACTTTCATTCATTCACAGTGCGGTATAATGAGACAATAACAGGCTACAGATGCGGACACACACACACACACACACACACACACACACACACACACACACACACACACACACACACACACACACACATATAAATATATACAATTTCAGATTCAAACAAGTATGAGAGCATAATGATAACGTAACACAATCAGAGACTGGATAATGAGATGCGCCGGTGAAGATGGCCGCATCGTCTTTGTGCTCCTCTCCAACTTTGCCCATTTTCGTATTTTGTACATATTTATTTTACTTTTGCCGTTTTACTTTTAACATGGTTCGCAACATGCTAGCCGACCGCACCTACTCTGCCATACAATATAGCAGAGAGGAACTTCGTGGACAATAATAACCCTCCGACAAACAATGGAGATTCACCATGGCTACCTGTTGCTGTTCTACCTGAGAGACGCAAGAAGAGGACAAAGCGCGGGTGCCGTGCCGGGTTGCTGGTCAGACTGAGGAAAGGAGAGAATCGACCCCCTCTTCCGAGTATTCTTCTGGCTAATGTTCAATCCATTGAAAATAAGCTAGATGAACTCAGAAGCCGGATTGCTTTTCAACGGGACATTAAGAACTGTAACGTGTTAATTCTCACTGAGACTTGGCTCAACCCCGCTATCCCGGACTCCGCCATTGTCCCTGATGGATTCTCTATTTTTCGTCAGGACCGGACTGCTAACTCGGGGGAAAGTAAGGGAGGTGGTGTGTGTGTAATGACTAACAACAACTGGTGCTCAGATGTGAAGATTATTTCATCGGACTGTTCCGCTCATCTAGAGCACCTCATGATCTCATGTCGGGCCTTCCATCTGCCGAGGGAATTCACATCTGTTGTGATAACAGCAGTGTATGTCCCCCCCGCAGCCACTCGCTGACAACAACACGGCACTCGATCAGCTGTTTGGGATTATTGATAAGACCGAGACTTCACGGCCAGATGCGGCGTTCGTTGTGGCCGGAGATTTCAACACCGCCAACATGAAGAAGGTTTTGCCAAAATATTACCAACACATCAACTTCCCGACGCGCGGGGGAAACATACTGGACCATGTTTATTCCCCTTTCCGGAATGGATATAAGGCTCTCCCTCGCCCTCCCTTCGGCAAATCAGACCATATCTCACTACTGTTGTTGCCTGCGTACAAGCAGAAACTTAAAAGGGACAGACCGATAACAAGGACAGTACAGCGATGGAGCGAGGAGTCAGATGAGGCACTGCAGGATTGCTTTGCATCTACGGATTGGAGTGTGTTTGAGGACAATAACATCAACACACACACGGACACTGTCATCTGCTACATTGGGAAATGCATCGATGACGTGGTACCGAAGGTTTCTGTACGGACATTCCCAAATCAAAAGCCCTGGATAAACTCCGATGTGCGCTGCAAGCTGAGAGCGCGCACTATCGCGCACAGAGCGGGAGGTTTGGAGGAGTACAGGAAGTCTAGGTATGATCTCCGGAGAGCAATTAAAAATGCAAAGAGACAGTACAAAGAGAAGGTGGAATCTGACTTCAAAGGCTGTAACACTAGGAATATGTGGGCGGGACTAAGGACAATGACTGACTACAAAGGAGCAGCGGGGGGGTGCTGCGGGAGTGTCTGCGTGCGCATCTCTCCCAGATGAGCTGAACAGTTTTTTTGCACGCTTTGAGAGCAGCCAGGCTGTGGAGGTACAGAGGGACCAGGAGCTACACTGCCCTTTTGTTTTAAATAGGGCAGATGTGTGTAAATCCTTTAAAAGGGTTAACCCACACAAGGCTCCTGGACCTGATGGCATCCCTGGCCGTGTTCTCAGGGTGTGTGCAGTTCAGCTGGCAGAGGTGTTCACAGACATCTTCAACAGGTCCCTGCTGCAGTCTGTAGTCCCCACATGTCTTAAACACTCCACCATCATTCCTGTCCCCAAAAAGACAATAATCACCTGCCCCAACGACTACCGCCCAGTAGCACTCACCTCCATCATAATGAAGTGCTTTGAGCGGTTAGTCAAATCATTCATCACCTCCTCCCTCCCTGAATCTCTGGACCCCCTGCAGTTTGCCTACAGAGCAAACAGGTCCACAGACGACGCCATAGCCCTCACCCTCCACACTGCCCTCTCACACCTGGACCCGAAGAACAGGAACACATATGTGAGAATGCTGTTCATTGACTACAGTTCAGCATTCAATACCATTGTGCCCTCCAAGCTGGCCATCAAGCTCAGAGACCTCGGGCTCAACAGCGCCCTCTGTGACTGGATCCTGAACTTCCTGACGGGCAGACCCCAGGCAGTGCGGGTGGGAAACATCACATCCTCCACCCTGATTCTTAACACCGGTGCCCCTCAAGGCTGCATGCTCAGTCCTCTCCTCTACTCCCTGTTCACCCACGACTGCGTGGCCACACACAGCTCCAACACCATCGTGAAGTTTGCTGATGACACGACCGTCATCGGCCAGATCACAGACGATGACGAGACGGCGTACAGAGAGGAGGTCGAAAACCTGACATCTTGGTGCCAGGATAACAACCTCCATCTCAACATCAGCAAAACAAAGGAGCTGATTGTGGACTACAGGAAGCAGCAGGGAGAGGGACACGCCCCCATCGCCATCAATGGGACTACGGTGGAGAGAGTCAAAAGCTTCAGGTTCCTTGGGGTCCACATCACTGAGGACCTGACATGGTCTCTTCACACCACCACCATCACCAAGAAAGCTCGACAGCGGCTCTTCTTCCTCCGCAGGCTGAGGAGGTTCAAAATGGACTCCAGGATACTCTGCAACTTCTACAGGTGCACGATAGAGAGTATCCTGACTGGCAGCATGACGGCCTGGTACGGCAGCTGCACCGACCTCGATCGTAAGGCTTTACAGAGGGTGGTGAAAACTGCACAGCACATCACCAGGACGGAGCTGCCATCCATGGAGGACCTTTACTCCCAGCGGCTCAGGAAGAAATCACTACGGATTATCAAAGACCCCCATCACCCCAGCCACAAACTGTTCTTTCTGTTGCCGTCTGGCAGACGTTACCGCAGCATCCTGGCAAGGACAAGAAGATTCGGAGACAGTTTCTTCCCGCGGGCAGTGAGACTGTTAAAAAAATGAACTGTTGAAACAACTTCAAACATTCATCTGCTACTCAGTAGTATGTATCTAATACCTAATATATATAAATCATTCCAATAACTTGTATATAGACTCTATTGCACTATTCCACATCATAACTTTATTTTATTTTATAACTATTATTATTTTTGTATTGCTCATGCTCTTATTGTTATTATGTTATTATGTTGCATTGTTGGAGAAGCCTGTGACATAAAATTTTCAACTGCATAATTACTCTGTAGCTATGTCAGATTGACAATAAAGAACCTTGAACCTTGAACCTTGAACCTTGATATATCCAGAGGATGCATGCAGAGCTGAGATCAGTCCGGCCGTGCGTCACGACTCTTTGAAACATCTCTGTTGCCGGAAATGTCTCCGTGGAGGAGCCATCAGTGTGTCCTCGATTATAGCTCCTCCACAACACTGATGTTAGTTGGTGATTTTCTAATAAATATGTGTTTCATCTGAGATACAACTCAAAATAAGATGTTTTGACTGAACAAGATGATGCATTGTCTAAAAACAAGAGCCTATATCTCACTGCAGTGTTACTTCTGAAGTTATCATGTCTCATATCAGGTGGAGAGACATATTCTGACTAGATATCAGACACAGATACTGGGCAGGATTTAGAGTTTTTGTAGTGTGTGTTTAGGATTTACATTTCAGGAAGCGCAAAAGGTGGATTTGCAAATGTTTAAAGACTGGAGGGTTTAATGGTGTTATGGTTTAATGATGGGGATGTTTAGATGATGTCTAAGAGAATTTAAGGGTGGGACCAGTTGGCTACTTTCTCTCTAATACACAGAGAGACTGTGAGCAGAACTTCTCTCTCCTCTGAGGATGAAGCTGCTCTGTTCCTTCAGATCCATCTCACTTTATATTGACTTTCTTTATTACTTTATTAAATAGAACAAAATACAAACTTTGTCCATTAATCATTTAGAATTTCCTCCACAATAGGTTTCAGTAAAGTTTGCATCTGTACTGAAGTCCATTTGTTTTTGTTTTTCCACAGGCAAAGAAACATTTACTTTTGGAACTGGTAAGCTGTTTAAAGTAGAGACACTACGTACTGATATACACCTGAACATCATCAGGAGAGGACTCTTTAAAGTAGAGACACTACATACTGATATACACCTGAACATCAGCAGGAGAGAACTCTTTAAAGTAGAGACACTACATACTGATATACACCTGAACATCAGCAGGAGAGGACTCTTTAAAGTAGAGACACTACATACTGATATACACCTGAACATCAGCAGGAGAGGACTCTTTAAAGTAGAGACACTACATACTGATATACACCTGAACATCATCAGGAGAGGACTCTTTAAAGTAGAGACACTACATACTGATATACACCTGAACATCAGCAGGAGAGAACTCTTTAAAGTAGAGACACTACATACTGATATACACCTGAACATCAGCAGGAGAGGACTCTTTAAAGTAGAGACACTACATACTGATATACACCTGAACATCAGCAGGAGAGGACTCTTTAAAGTAGAGACACTAAATACTGATATACACCTGAACATCAGCAGGAGAGGACTCTTTAAAGTAGAGACACTACATACTGATATACACCTGAACATCAGCAGGAGAGGACTCTTTAAAGTAGAGACACTACAGGAGGGAGGATTCTCCAGTTCTATGTTTCACACTTCTTTGAATCTTCTGAATTCTTGTATCTAATAACTTGTTGTTTGTGTTTCTCAGCCGAAAGATGCAACAATAATAACTGAAGAGTGCCAGAAAGCGAGTGTTTCTCACAACGTCTCTCACTACGACTTCATGTGCCTGATAGCCAAAGACATGGGGATCGATCCGCCACGTACGTTCACACACAGATACTCAGAGCAATTCAGTTACTTCAGTAAAAATACTGCATTTCAAATGTTACTCAAGTAAAAGTAGAATCAGAAAAATGTAGTAAAAGTACTCAATAAATTAGAAAATGTAATGTTTATATACATATATATATATATATATAACAGTAAAAGTACCTCAAATGTGTACTTTGGTACTTTGCTTACATTCCACCTCTGCAGTTACTGAATGAATCAAAGATGATTTTATTTCACATTTGCAGTAAATTAACACAAATTCTATTTTCAATAATAACTATTTTCTTTTCTTTCTCTGCAGAAGGGTACTGCCAACACGGTGAGTTCACATGCTGTGTGTGTGTGTGTGTGTGTGTGTGTGTGGTGTGTGTGTGTGTGTGTGTGTGTGTGTGTGTACGTGTGTGTACGTGTGTGTGTGTACGTGTGTGTGTGTGTACGTGTGTGTACGTGTGTGTGTGTGTGTGTACGTGTGTGTACGTGTGTGTGTGTGTGTGTGTGTGTGTGTACGTGTTTTAGTGACAAACATGGTGTGTGTGTGTGTGTGTGTGTACATGTTTTAGTGACAAACATGGTGTGTGTGTGTGTGTGTGTGTGTGTGTGTGTGTGTGTGTGTGTACGTGTTTTAGTGACAAACATGGTGTGTGTGTGTGTGTGTCTGTCTGTGTGTGTGTGTGTGTGTGTGTGTGTGTGTGTGTGTGTGTGTGGTGTGGTGTGTGTGTGTGTGTGTGTGGTGTGTGTACGTGTGTGTACGTGTGTGTGTGTACGTGTGTGTACGTGTGTGTGTGTGTGTGTGTGTGTGTGTACGTGTTTTAGTGACAAACATGGTGTGTGTGTGTGTGTGTGTGTACATGTTTTAGTGACAAACATGGTGTGTGTGTGTGTGTGTGTGTGTGTGTGTGTGTACGTGTTTTAGTGACAAACATGGTGTGTGTGTGTGTGTGTCTGTCTGTGTGTGTGTACATGTTTTAGTGACAAATATGGTGTGTGTGTGTGCGTGTGTGTGTGTGTGTGTGTGTGTGTGTGTGTGTGTGTGTGTGTGTGTGTGTGTGTGTGTGTGTGTGTGTGTGTGTGTGTGTGTGTGTGTGTGTGTGTGTTGTGGAGGATGACAGCTCTACACGGTGCTACAACGCCTCAAAACTCTTCAATCAGGAGAGACTTTGTTTTGATTTAAGAACACACAGATGAATGTAGTCGTGTTTGGTGAGACCCCGTTGAGCGGAGGTATATTTCGGGGAGGGGGGAAACCAGCACGACTGGATCCTTTTAAAAAATCTCTCAAAACTCACTATAGCTTTTAATCTCTAATCAATTTGAGTTCAACTCGTGTCTCTGAATCCATCAGGTCTACTCAGAGCCGTGTCTGCTGTTACAGTTTTATACCTTCATTGCTGTAACACCCTCTTGTTTCCTGTTCTCTTTTCCAGATGCCGTGCACGAGCTGTATTCAAAGATAGCTGCCAGTAAGTCTCACTTGTTTCTGGAAGTCTTTAGAAAGTGCCTGCTGGTGAAACTTCTGCTTCTCCTCATGTGACCTCTGAGAGAACCATGGATGCATATGTGACCTTGTGTTTCTATAGCTTCTGCCGTTTTTCTCCAAGCATTTCTTACTCCTGCGATATACATTTAATAATTAACGGAGGAACAATCTCAAATATGTGAAAACTGCGAAAAATAACGGAATTTCTGACCTTTTGTCGGCCGAATGTTTCTCATCTTTAGGTAAGATTTGGTCAGAAAACACATTTTTGATCCCCTTAAAGCTTCCTAATTTAAAAGTCAAAATTCAACGTGGTAACAGTTTAGCACAAGGCTAGCAGCTAACGGTGCTAAGTCCCCTTTAATAACCTTAAAATAGCGCCTTTGATTTGACCAAATACAGCACTCCTGCTACACGTCATTTATCTTCCTGTTGAAATGCTCAGTCTTATATTGTCTATAAAGCCCACATTGAGACACGCTATTACTGACTGACTGCCTTTATTCAGGTAAAACAACAACAACACTGCCACCACCAACAACAACAACACCACCAACAACAACAACACTGCCACCACCAACAACAACAACAACAACACTGCCACCAACAACAACACTGCCACCACCAACAACAACAACAACATCAACACTGCCACCAACAACAACACTGCCACCACCACCAACAACAACAACAACAACACTGCCACCACCAACAACAACAACAACATCAACACTGCCACCAACAACAACACTGCCACCACCAACAACAACAACAACAACACTGCCACCACCAACAACAACAGCACAGACTGAAAGAACAACACCAACAACAGTATTGTCAAATACAAAAGTAACACTCCCATCCTCCTCATCATCAACACTGGCACCAAATGTCACATCGAGCCCAATAGACGGAACCAGTGGTAAGCTAAGCTAACGGCTATATGTGATTAAATCATTGCTACCCGCATCGTGGCAATGAAATATATTATACTTGTATTTATTACTTATGTTTTATAACTAACATCAGGAGAGACAGTTTGAGAAAGGATGCAGATATAAAAACCCAAATGTTCCACATGAAGAAACATCTTCAGCGACTTGTCATCACATGCAGCCTTTAGAGAACATTCAGCAACTTGAGGAGACATGCGCAGCGTTTACTAAAAGCTGCAGAAACCAAACGCAGCAAGAAGCTCAAAACACAACAGAGACCAGGGGCCTGAGGCCTGAGGCCTGAGGGCTGAGGGCTGAGGGCTAAGGCCTGAGGCCTGAGGGCTGAGGCCTGAGGCCTGAGGGCTGAGGGCTGAGGCCTGAGGCCTGAGGCCTGAGGCCTGAGGGCTGAGGGCTAAGGCCTGAGGCCTGAGGCCTGAGGCCTGAGGGCTGAGGGCTGAGGCCTGAGGGCTAAGGCCTGAGGCCTGAGGCCTGAGGGCTGAGGCCTGAGGCCTGAGGGCTGAGGCCTGAGGGCTGAGGGCTGAGGGCTGAGGGCTGAGGGCTGAGGCCTGAGGGCTAAGGCCTGAGGCCTGAGGCCTGAGGCCTGAGGCCTGAGGGCTGAGGGCTAAGGCCTGAGGCCTGAAGCCTGAGGGCTGAGGGCTAAGGCCTGAGGCCTGAGGCCTGAGGCCTGAGGGCTGAGGCCTGAGACCAGAGACCAGAGGCCTGAGGGCTGAGGCCTGAGGGCCTGTACGACGAAGCCAGTTCAACAGACCCTGGATCTGTTTGAGTTACCCGGCTTACCTAACCCAAAACAAACGCGCTCTCGCTAAGCGGTGCTACGACGCTGGTTATCAACTCGGTAACTCAAGCCAGGGTTTCTCTGTCCGGCTGAGTGCGCGTTCACATGAAAGGGGCGGGGTTAGCAACATTTGACCAATCAGAAACATGGAGAAGCGTAATGACAGCGCACCGTCATACTTCCTGAATGAGAAGTGAACTATAATATTAGACAAATATGAAGAAGTTAAACTTTGAATACGTTCATTAACAGGTTTATGATATCACTGCCCCGTCCAAGACACGATCTGACTTTAATTACATTTGACTCGAGTGTTTCGTCAACTTAATGTGTTGCTTAAAATAATACTTCTGCATACAGTATGTGACACTGTGAGTGTTGCACGGCCAGATACGGCTCAGCTGACTCAGATAAGGAAATATATGATACATTATGATGTAATATGAATGATAATGGGACACATCGACGTCTGCACTCACAGTGCCGCGGACTGTACTTAATGTTACTCTGATCCGGTTACTTATGTTGTGGCAGATATTTAAGTAAGCTTTCTTAACGCTAATGTTATAATAGTCAGATTGCTCTGAAGATGGGAGGAGGGGATATTCTATTAATGTTCACGTTCACACAGTCAGTTGATTTTTGCCGGCCGTCTTTCCTGCAACGGCAGTTTTTCTGTATTTCCTCTATCCTGTAATATCACTTGATCGCTTTAAACTCCGCACACGGAGCTCTGATTGGTCAGCAGGCGGTGCTTTCACTGAGTTGATCTCTTAGCCTGTCACCTAACCTGCTCCCGAGGAGGTTAGCCGCTCAGCATAAGTTACCATGGAGATCTAGCCCGCTAAAAAGAGAACCAGCGTCGTAGGACCGGAAAGCCCGAGTTTTCCCTGAAGTCAGCTAAGAGAACATCCGGCTTCGTAGTACAGGCCTCAGGGGACACTAAAGAGTGACGCACACAGCTGAGAGATTAGGGGACACTAAAGAGTGACGCACACAGCTGGGAGACCAGGGGACACTAAAGAGTGACGCACACAGCTGGGAGACCAGGGGACACTAAAGAGTGACGCACACAGCTGGGAGACCAGGGGACACTAAAGAGTGACGCACAGTGTTTTCTGAGTTTAGGACTCATTCCCGCACCACTCTATTCCTCCAAATAGAGAGAATGGATTTGAAGTTTGTCAGCAGCTCAGTGATTGGCTGCTGGGCAGAGACAATAATAATGAAATAAGCGTAACGGTATTTTCCCTGATTGAAACTATACTCTGAGCTGCATATGGATCCATGGTGTCACAGTGGAAGAAACAAGACGTTTCCCCAACAACCAATCAGTGCGCTGCATGCAGAAACATCAGATTTGGCTTTTTGTGAGAATGTCTAACCTTCACTAAACATGGCTGCATGCTGCTTGGGATTCATCGAGATATTTCCAAAGTGAAATATCTCGTTTCAAGGCTTTTCTAGAAAATAACTGAATTGAGAAATGCCTTTTTTTCTAAATTGTACTGATGTGTATTTTCTATCTTCTCGTAGATCCAAGTTCAGCAGGGAGAGTTAAACAAGGTAAGCTCTTTCCCTGAATCCCAAAGTTAATAATTAAAAGGGTTCGGACTTTAAAACGTGTCAAAGTGTGGAGAAGGATCTCAAACGACCGCATGCTTGAGGTCGACCAACAGCCCCAAAGATAAATAAATAAGGAATAGATAAGCAGTAAATCCCACGTGATGTAGGAGTGTGTCAGTTCGAAGCTGGATAAACAGGAAGTTCATTAAAGCACTCCTAGAAATAACAACACTTGTGTCTACTCAGAGATCCACTCTCTCTGCCACTCCTAGTCTTGTTTATTGTGACTCTTTTCAACATGTAAAAGTTTAAAGTGATCACTATTTCCCAATATTGAGATATTTTACGTGTTTTATTTCTTTAAGATGAAATCATAAAACGCTGTCTTTCTGTATGTTTCTAATGATACTGATATATATGTGTGTTTCTGTTTGTTTCCACACAGACGGATCAGGCAAAGGTACGTTTGATCCGCGGCCAGCATAACTGTCTCCTGTGAGCGGGAGCGCACTCCTTCACTACAGACTGTCTCTATCTCTCTCTCTCTCTCTCTCTCTCTCTCTCTCTCTCTCTCTCTCTCTCTCTATCTATAACTATCTATCAATATATCTATCCATCTATCTCTCTCTCTCTCTCTCTATCTCTCTCTCTATCTATAACTATCTATCAATATATCTATCCATCTATCTCTCTCTCTCTCTCTCTATCTCTCTCTCTATCTATAACTATCTATCAATATATCTATCCATCTATCTCTCTCTCTCTCTCAATCTATCTCTCAATCTATAAGGAACCGCAGTAGACAAAAGGCGTTGCTATAGCAACACGTCATGTTTATATGAAAAGGGGTGGGGTCAATATGACCCGCTGGGCGGAAATAGGTATAAATGGCAATTTTTTGGGCGATTTCTTCAATCTGACTTCGTATTGACAATTTTTAACAACATAGGGTGCTACATAACACAATTTCAGGAAAAGTCACGGACTGGAAGACTTTAATATTTTATTGAAAAAAAGTTACATACAATAAAAAACAGCTCTGGGTCAAATTGACCCGATTGGCGGTTCTAGTGTTAACAAATCGAGATATATTCGGATAAATTGAGTTGAATGACTTTTACTGATCTCCTGTGTCCTCTCTCCTCTCTCTGGTCTTCCTTAAAGCTTGTGATGTATTGTGCACCTCTCTCTCCTGTCTGACAGAGAGCGTCACCCTGAAGGGCTTCCTGATCATCTCCGTGGCTCTGAACATCCTCCTGCCTCTCTTCGTGTTCCTCTTCATGCACCACAGGCAGAAGCAGAATCTGTGGGTGAGTTCCCTTTGTTCACGCTAAGGATCCATGCAGGCTGGAACCAGTCCAACAGCCGCTCTGAGGGAGTGCTGTATGTTGGGACACTGCCAAGACATATCTCAGTTACCCTCATGTGGGGTCATGGAGGGTGTTCCAACGATCACAGCGCTCCCAACGTACTTTAAGAGGGACATGTGACATGTGATAGCTCCCAGTTTCACACACACACACACACACACACACACACACACACACACACACACACACACACACACACACACACACACACACACACACACACACACACACACACACACACACACACTCAACATGTGTCCCCTCTTCTTCATGTCTCTTCTACATCAACATGTGTCCCCTCTTCTTCATGTCTCTTCTTCATCAACATGTGTCCCCTCTTCTTCATGTCTCTTCTACATCAACATGTGTCCCCTCTTCTTCATGTCTCTTCTTCATCAACATGTGTCCCCTCTTCTTCATGTCTCTTCTACATCAACATGTGTCCCCTCTTCTTCATGTCTCTTCTTCATCAACATGTGTCCCCTCTTCTTCATGTCTCTTCTTCATCAACATGTGTCCCCTCTTCTTCATGTCTCTTCTACATCAACATGTGTCCCCTCTTCTTCATGTCTCTTCTACATCAACATGTGTCCCCTCTTCTTCATGTCTCTCCTACATCAACATGTGTCCCCTCTTCTTCTTCATGTCTCTTCTTCATCAACATGTGTCCCCTCTTCTTCATGTCTCTTCTTCATCAACATGTGTCCCCTCTTCTTCATGTCTCTTCTACATCAACATGTGTCCCCTCTTCTTCATGTCTCTTCTTCATCAACATGTGTCCCCTCTTCTTCATGTCTCTTCTTCATCAACATGTGTCCCCTCTTCTTCATGTCTCTTCTTCATCAACATGTGTCCCCTCTTCTTCATGTCTCTTCTACATCAACATGTGTCCCCTCTTCTTCATGTCTCTTCTACATCAACATGTGTCCCCTCTTCTTCATGTCTCTTCTTCATCAGCATGTGTCCCCTCTTCTTCATGTCTCTTCTACATCAACATGTGTCCCCTCTTCTTCATGTCTCTTCTTCATCAACATGTGTCCCCTCTTCTTCATGTCTCTCTTCATCAACATGTGTCCCCTCTTCTTCATGTCTCTTCTTCATCAACATGTGTCCCTCTTCTTCATGTCTCTTCTTCATCAACATGTTGTCCCGTCTTCTTCATGTCTCTTCTTCATCAAACATGTGTCCCCTCTTCTTCAGGTCTCTTCTTCATCAACATGTGTCCCCTCTTCTTCATGTCTCTTCTTCATCAACATGTGTTCCCCCTCTTCTTCATGTCTCTTCTTCATCAACCCTGTGTTCCCCTCTTCTTCATGTCTCTTCTTCATCAACATGTGTCCCTCTTCTTCATGTCTCTTCTTCATCAACATGTGTTCCCCTCTTCTTCATGTCTCTTTCTTCATCAACATGTGTCCCCTCTTCTTCAGGTCTCTTCTTCATCAACATGTGTCCCCTCTTCTTCATGTCTCTTCTTCATCAACATGTGTCCCCTCTTCTTCATGTCTCTTCTTCATCAACATGTGTCCCCTCTTCATCTTCTCATGTCTCTTCTTCATCAAACATGTGTCCCCTCTTCTTCATGTCTCTTCTTCATCAACATGTGTCCCCTCTTCTTCATGTCTCTTCTTCATCAACATGTGTCCCCTCTGTGGAAAGAGACTCTGAAAGTTTCAGGAACAAAGATTCTCTCTCTTTTTGATCCATTTCTATAAAAACCTGTCTGAAAATGAGCTGATCAGATTTTGGCCACTTTGTGATGTCATAGCATAACTCTTCTTCATGTCTCTTCTACATCAACATGTAATGAAGTACATTTTGTTCATGATACTTTCACTTGAGTAAGAGTTTGAACGCACGACTTGTGATGAAGTATTTTGACAATAGTGTATTGGTGCTTTTACTGGTAACTCGTTTTCAAAGTTTTAATTTAGGCTCTGAAATGTCTCTTTCTCTGTCTTTGTCTCACAGCGGTTAGATCTTGAATCCAAACACGAGCTGTTGCCGAATAAAAACATGGGTAATGATGCCGTTGGAGAGGAAACAAAAGCTTAAGGACTCTTCTCTAAGCGTCACCTATATATATATTGCCATCACATTGCAGCTGTTGGATGTAACCCAGGATCTGGAGGCCAGGAGAGGGACTCTTGACGGACGGGAGGTTTTCGCCTTGAATCCCAGAGTGGAAATCGACCAATTGCAACACGATCGTTCTGCTGAGTTACATGGACTGTTTCCCCGGAGTTCAGTCAAAGGAGAAAGAAGAGTGAAAGGACTGAACAGAGACAAGTTGGCTGGACCCACTTTTAAAGCAGAGACATGTTTTTTTTCCCCACTGCCTTCACAGAAACACATGGGGAAGTTTCCAAAGAGTTTAGAGAGCTGGTGAAAGACCCAATTAGTGTAAAGTTGTGTATGAATTACGTAGTTTTCAACCCGGAAGTAAGCATAGCAAGGGATCCCTCAAACAACAAACAAAGGGAATTTTCTGTTCTCAAAAAGTAAGATCTAAAGTTCAACGCTAAGCTATTTACATTCTGTAGTTCAGACCCTTTTCCCACTTCCAGTTCAGATCATGTACAGATGTTCTCTGAGGTGATATGAGGACATTTTGAATAACTCTGTAGAGTCTTGTGGTGAAAATGCTCTGCTATGAGGAGCTACGAGAAGAACCAGAACTCAAAATAATGTGAGCATTTTGAGAAATAAAAAAGAATTCAGGATTTTGAGAAAAATTCTAAAAATTTAGATTTTTAGAAAAATTCTGGATTTTGATAAAAAGTCATAATTTTGAGAAAGTGGTCATAATTTTTGTAAAAAACCTGAAAGCTGAGACATTTCTGCAAAAAGTCAGAATTTTAGATTTTGAGAGAAAAGTCAACATTTTGAGAGAAAAGTCAGAATTTTGAGAATTTGAGAGAAAAGTCGAAATGTTGAGAGAAAAGTCGGAATTTTGAGATTTTGAGAGAAGTCGGAATTTTGAGATTTTGAGAGAAAAGTCTGAATTTTGAGCTTTTGAGAGAAAAGTCAGAATTTTAAGATTTTGAGAGAAAAAGTCCAAATGTTTTGATTTTCTTTTGGACTTTTTACATTTTTTTAATAAAGTCAACATTGAGAAAAAAGCAGCAATGTGAACAATGAGTTTTTTATTAGAGATCTATCTCAGCTATCTGGCTAGTATTGCCAAATTGATGGCTTCTTCTTCCGCAGCTCCTCACAGATCCAGACATCGCTGTCAATTCTCAAATATACGTTTTTTGGAAAAAGTAATGACATATTGGTAATCAAAAATAGTTTGTTTATCACCTGAGAAACTGTAATAACTTAATAAAAGTTAATTGAAAACCTTATTTCAGCTTACTAACAAAAAACAACATCCCACACCAGGGGACAGGAAGGGAAACATGCTGACACATATTCAGTGTTTTTGGCACAGGCCTTATGTTAGATAGACAGGATGTGAGAATGAACTACAGCAGAGTTGGCTGTCAATGATAAGCCTTTTACTACCGGAGTTAATATATAGTTGTGTTTGAAGCATGAAGAGAGATACACTGACATTACATTGCAGGCCGGGTAATACCTGACTGACACTTCACGGTATCAGTGACTCTTAAAAAAAATATACGTCCAGCTTTTGTGTTACATTGCTTCACTAAACAGTTTCAGGAAATATATAAAGTCATAATACTCACTAGCTTCTTCAATCCGTCCATAATGAAAAGAAAGCATGAACAGTAGACTTCTGCAGCTCTTTTAACCCTCCCGTTGTCTTCGGGTCAAATCTGACCGATTTACTCCTTTCATCAATCATAACTTTTTTGTTTTACATTCGATTGCATTAAGGCTTCATGATATCCTTCACAGTAGACATTTGAACATACACAATGGCTGATCAACACTTTCATTGCATTTTGGATGATTTAGTCAACTTTGTAACACCCATGGTGTTCCCAGTCATAAATGACCGCCATAAAGAAATGGAATTAGTAACCATCCGGATCAGTTTTTCATGTATACCAGTAGTCTGATTCAATATTTACAGTTTGAAAGGGTGTTAAATGAAATTTGGTGGATTAATGGTTTTTGTGTTAATGTAAAAGCAGTTAAAACAGGACCGGACAAATTTGAACGCGAACTCCAAAGTAAAGGGGGGGGAAACGAAGACAATAGGAGGGTTAAAAACACTTTCCTTGCATCAGTATACTGCTCAGTGAGCCATGTGCAGCATATGTTTTTTAATGTGTCTTAGCAACATATCTAATTTCCTTTAAGAACTGTCAGTCGGAGCAGCAAATTAAGTTCTCTGGGGCGAAAAACCCAAAGCATAAATCACTGGTCAACAGTTTTATTTTTATATTTTAATGCGTTTGATTGTGATGAAGATGCAGCTGACAATGCTACTGTAGTCGTGTGCCACAGATATATGATTTGAAATGCACCTTTGTTTGCCATTTCTATTTCTTTTTTACTGTATTATAAAACCTAAGAGCCATATGGAATTAGCCCAACTAGACATGCTAAAATATCACTACAAATAAAATGTGATCCACAGCTTTTGAACCGGTCTGTTATAAGCTGTGAAAAACAACTAGATCTCCAAATATATTTAAAAATCTAAATAGGTTTTCTCTTAAACAAGCTTCACAAATACAGGTTTTTGTCTAGTTAAAAAACCCGCTAAAACATATATCTAGTAGAAATTATTTGCCGTCCAGAAGCTTTTAATAAACCTAACAGCATTTAAAGTAGTTTTACTCCAAACCTGACTCTGGAATAAGGCCCTGATTATTTGATGCTTTGTTTACAGTGTTTGCTTTTTGTATGCTTTCATGGTTCCTAATGTTAAACCTTTGATCAAGTGTGACGCTTTGTTTGTATAATCCTGTTTATCTATCATGGTTTCAATACATGCAATTAGCATTCATGCACTTGTTCATACTTGCTAAGTGTTGGAGAATAATAATACTGACTGATGAGTGATGTGAGCTGGCAGCAGAACCCATCAGTGGTTTCATCATCTTCACTTTATGTAGCCCTGTTCCTTTTCCCACTTCCTATTCAAGCGCTTATGTCTTGGCTCTTTAGCACTACAGCAATGTAAACAATGCATTTTATTTGGGATCATTAACATCTCCACAGATGGTTTTACAGCATCCTCTGTTAGTGACTGCAGGATGACATGACAATACAATTCTCATGAGGACATTTTTCACGAAAAGAACCAGAACATATGAGCCGGTCGGACTGCAGACTAAAGCTCATGAGGACACTTTATAATAACTCTCACTGCCAGAAGGAGAGACAAATATTCACAGTGATGACATTTATTAAAAAAACAAACAAGTTAACTCAACTAACCTGTCAGTGTGCAATTTAGCTAGCTAACGTTAGCCTTCTATCTATATCTAGCTAGCGAACGCTAGCCTTCTATCTATATCTAGCTAGCTAACGTTAGCCTTCTATCTATCTATCTATAGCTAGCTAACGTTCCCTATATATCTACCCTAGTAAGCTAGCTAAATGTAGCTACCATCTAACAAACTAGCTAGCGAACGTTAGCCTTCTATCTATCTATCTATTTATCTCTCTCTCTATCTATCTATCTATAGCTATAGCTATCTAGCTAGCTAGCTAAAGCTCCCTATATAGCCTATCTACCTAGTAAGCTAGCTACCCATCTCACTTAAACTAGCTAACTAATGTTAGCTGTCTAGCTAGCTATTGTCAAATTTGTGGCTCTCATAATTTAAATGTGAGTTGTTATTTAACCCCCTGTGGTTATACAGTGTGGACCTGTGTCTACTTTTAGGCAGTGAGAGTAATTAAAAAACATGTTGACGTGCTTCTTTAAGCAGACCAGCAGCTCCTCAAAGCTCCAAACATCGCTGTAAACTCTCAAATATACAGTTTCTGGATAAAGTAATCACATATTGGTGATCTAAATAGTGAGTTTCTCTTAATAACAGAATTTAAAAGCTTTAAAACTGTTTATCTGGCAAGCAAAGGTTGATAAAGCTAGCGAAGCTATGCAAAATAACAGCAATTACGCTTTAACCGGAAGTTACAGACATTATAGGGCAATAGTGCCGTAGTGCCGGCCAAGCATAAAGGGAATAGGTCAATAGAAAGGTCTCAAATTACTTAATAACTAGCTAAAATTAGCCTGTTAGCTAGCTCACTAAGGTTATAATTGTTCCATGAGACCACCAGTAATTTCAAGCTATATTTTTTCTTCTGATTCAAAGTTAACCTTGGGAAAGGAAGACTGTGGAGTATTTATCATTTTGGCAGCATATTTCAGAGGAGTGCTTCATCATGTCGTGAATAGTGAACAGAAGAGCTATGCCTGGTCTCTGTTTTCAATATTGAACTCTTGTGGTATGTTTTGCAACGTATGCATTTTGTCAAAATGTGAAGACATTTGTTTGTTGTTTTGTTTTTCATTGGGTATGTTTCGGTCAGTAGAAAAATGACACTCCAGTAAAGTTCTGCAGTTTTAGTGTGTGTTGCTTCAGAAACCGCTCTGTGCTGTAGCATCTGTTTTCAATATCAATCCACAACATTTTAAAACTCTCTGTAACTTTAAGATGTACATGAAAGTTCACAAATAAACTCATTCTAATCCTATGTTGCTTGTGTTGGTGTTCAAAGATTTATCAGAACAGTAAACAACTTTCTTTAATTAGGAATGTGTTGTGTTTCTGTAACAAATAATGAAGCACTTGTTTTTTTAAAGATGCAACACCTACCAAATGTCGTGGTTCAACTCCGAGAGGCTCGACTAACTTTTGGTACCAATTGTTCTCGATTTAAATTTTGCAGATAGTACTCAAATTAAAATAGTCTCCTTAGTAGATTGCGTTGTCGTACACTGTGAACGCTCGCTACATTTTGACCGTGAAGCGTTGCTTTAAATGGCACACGGCTACTGTAAATTCACCGAAAGTGACAATCGATAAAAGAGTTGCAGGTAGCATTACATAATATGTTCGATAGACAGTGCCAATACAGAGTTAAAAATGCAAACATCTCTATTAGGGCTGCACGATTTGGGGAAATAATCTAATTGCGATTTTTCTGACAGATATTGCGATTCGATTTGCGATATTTGTTTTTAAGCGACCCAACGGAAGTTTATTGTAAAATGCGGCCATATCTCCGGCTAGGAAGGTCGTATCAACGTGCTCCCGTCTCTAGCACCCCCGCAGCCCGAGCTACGAGTGGAAGAACGAAACTTACATGAAACTTCCGTTGGGTTGCTTTAAAGTCAAGCTTCAGTTTAAGATTCACCCTGTAATAGAAACATGTGATGGAGCATCACTAACCTGACTCAGAGGCTTTGTTTCACCCTGTAATAGAAACATGTGATGGAGCATCACTAACCTGACTCAGAGGCTTTGTTTCACCCTGTAATAGAAACATGTGATGGAGCATTACTAACCTGACTCAGATGCTTTTCATAATAGAAACACGTGATGGAGCATTACTAACCTGACTCAGATGGTTTGTTTCACCCTGTAATAGAAAACATGTGATGGAGCATTACTAACCTGACTCAGATGCTTTGTTTCACCCTGTAATAGAAACATGTGATGGAGCATTACTAACCTGACTCAGATGCGTTGTTTCACCCTGTAATAGAAACATGTGATGGAGCATCACTAACCTGACTCAGAGGCTTTGTTTCACCCTGTAATAGAAACATGTGATGGAGCATCACTAACCTGACTCAGAGGCTTTGTTTCACCCTGTAATAGAAACATGTGATGGAGCGTTACTAACCTGACTCAGACGCTTTGTTTCACCCTGTAATAGAAACATGTGATGGAGCATCACTAACCTGACTCAGAGGCTTTGTTTCACCCTGTAATAGAAACATGTGATGGAGCATCACTAACCTGACTCAGATGGTTTGTTTCACCCTGTAATAGAAACATGTGATGGAGCATTACTAACCTGACTCAGATGGTTTGTTTCACCCTGTAATAGAAACATGTGATGGAGCATTACTAACCTGACTCAGATGGTTTGTTTCACCAAACCATCTAGGAAAGCTCCATTGGAAGCCATTTGGAAAAGGGCAGGCACTTTCAAAAATACTTGGCAGGTGATTGGATCAATCTACTACCATGGGCCACTTCTGATTGGTTAACAACAATTTTTTTTTGATAATTGCATCATTTCAAATCGCGATTTCGATTTCAAATCGATTAATCGTTCAGCCCTAATCAGTATTTTACGAACAGTTTGTCTCTTCTGAATTATCTTTACTCTTGAAACCTGTGTTTTTTTAACCATTTTGAGGCAGTTGAAACAAAGTGTAAACACAACATTAAGATAATTGCTA